CCCCCCCCCCTCTCCCTGCTCGCTCTCTCTGTCTGCCTGTCTTTCTCTCTATTCGCCTATCATGTCTGTCTGTCCGTCTGCCTGTCTGTCTCTCTCTGGTCTCCCTCTGTCTCTCAATGCCCCCCCCTCCTCTACCCCCCCCTCCTGCCAAAACCTTCACAAATGAACAACACGGCTTCGTTTGTGAGAGCAGCCGCTAGCGGGCTTGGTGATCTACGTAGACGCCTTCCTCGACGACCGATCTCCGATGCGGGACGAGTACGGGAGGCTGCTCCGGACTCTGGGGGCCGACGTCCGTGCCCGCCTCCCAAAGAGCATGGAAATTCTCACGCACCTCGTATGGCAGGGGGGCGACGAAGGTGAGTCGTTTTGCTTCAGTTGGAAGGCTCGTTTTTCCCGCCGTATTGTGCTTGAGGCACGTGTGGAAATGCTAAACTGGGGACGCTGTGAGGATGAGAAACTGTGATGGAGGGAAGAGTTTGTTTTTTCCCAGTCGACTTAGGGAAACAAGAGAAGAACGCTTGTGTGGGCAGCTGTCGCTGCTGTCAAGTGGTAACCGCAGTCTTGCTAGCCTCGGATGCGCCAGGTTGACTCCGTAATCTGGACATGTGCTGAGTCCATGCTCCTGCTGCTTGTGGCACGAACATCACAAGACTGGTGGCGCCTACTTCCCGCGGTCAACTAAGCTACGGATGCGCGATATTTGCCAGTCGCCTTTTTGTGAGAGGGCCGTTGTAATCAGACCGTGTTTCGGTTCCACATCTCCACGTTCATATGTTTTTTCGAAGCCGCAATCGAGAAACCAGTTTTTCGGGAGTTTTGGCAACTCGGGAACGAATTGGGACCCAAAACGGCCCCAATCGTTCTCCCCGACGTCCATCACGTCATCAGTGGATCCATCTCTCTCGGTTAAACCCTTGTACCTTTTTTCTGTGTTCCCACGCCTCGCTCATCTCCCCCATGTTCCGCGTCCCGCGATTGTTTGGTTCGTGATATAATTCTTGCTGCGCAGGCACCGCGCAGAAGGCGTCTGATGCCGGGGTTGCGCTTGTCTCTCCCTCCTGGGTACACGCCTGCGACAAGGTGTGTAGCTCATCGCCTACTGCCCTTTGGCATCATCGGTGGCAACGGCACAAGCAGCAATAGTAACTCCTTCTCAACAATATCAATAGCAACAACAACATCAACAACAACAACCATGACATCAACCAAACGGTGCTGGTAGCGGCAACGGTGCTAGTTTGCGGAGTGTCCCATCGTGCCCATGATACCGCCCGACAGACCATCCGTGGGACTTACACCCGAACTGCACACAATTCGGAAGCTTTTCCCTCGTCATAAAGCTGTAGGGTGCGCCACTGCATGTGTGCGAACATACCGTGTGTTCTGTTGGTCGCGCGGGCGATTTTCATTCACTTCGGTAACTTGCCGCTGATGTGGAGTAGGTGATTGCATGTCTGTGACCAAGACCCAGATAAATCGCTACCAACTCGCGGTAGCGTATATTCGTCTCCGAGTGTCGAAGCCTTCATCGCATTGGTTCCCCTGTCAGTACCAGGGCAGCCGAGCCACGTTGAGGCATTCTTGAACCCTGTTATTTCGTTGTGTCTTCTGACACCAACCTCCGCTATGTGTTTTTTGTTCTTGTCCTCGCCACCCAATGCGGTGGCATGGTTTGGTTTCGGAGACCAGGCAGGGGTTCATGCGGCGGAACATGACCATCCCGCGGCGTTCAGCCCTGACTTGTACGCGATAACCGCGGACAAGAAGAAGCGTCAGGTATGCACCGCTGTACATGTGGGCCTCGCCGTGGGTGAATGCTTACGGCGGAAAACATGATGGTGATTTGCGTCGCTCGTATGTTGTTGAAAATGTGGGAGTCAGGTGTGTTAGTCGCTGCCCATGTCCGTGAGTAGTTCGGGCTGACCTAGTCGCCCCTCCGTCACTGACAGCTTGCATTGCCTGTACTGTACCACACGTTTTTCAACGCTTGTTCTCTTTGTTCAACGATGCACCAGATGGTTTTCGTGCGGCGGCTTCTGCCGCTCCTGCTGTGAGAACCAGTCTGTTCCTGTACCCCTTTTCGTCCGCTGCACTGGCTACACATCCTGTACCCCTTTTTTGGCTTCTTGTTTTTTCCCGCGCCCGCTGTCTTGGCATGACTAGGCGCGACGCAAGCCAGCGCGCCGCAAGCCCACGCTGGAGCCGACCATCGACGAGTGGCAGGACGTGGACAAGACTGGCTTGTGCTTCTCGAGCTCCCAGAGGTATGGGCCACAAAACGATGGTAGCAGCAGTAAGGGTCGTGGGCCAATGTCGTGGAAGCAAACCGTGAAAAATAAGTTCGCAGGAAAACGTGGAGGATGGTGCTTGGGTGAGGCGAGGCATAGGTGTAGCCGATCGGCCAAAAAGCAAGCCAGGAATGCGCAAGACTGCGCCAAAAATTATCCGGGCGAGGCGGGCTTTGTAGCGAGCGGGGAGAATGAACGTCTCTCTTGCTTCAACCTCCATCCCTTGTTGAAGTCTTGGCGCTACCTTCCGTTCGCTCTGGGCCGTAACGGAGGCCTGTCATGCCAGGCCAACCGTGTGGTATGTTCGGAGGAGGATTAGCGATCGCACCTACGGGGGGACTGTCGCCAAAATAAATAGGACGAAAAACGCACAGTTAACCCCTGCCATGAATGTCAAGTCTTGACAACACGTGAGAACCAAGGTCTCCTGTGGCACACGGCACCCAGCACCCTATTACCCCAACCCTGGCTTGGCTTCGACAAGCAGGGACCCGCCAGATCTCGGTTTCGAGGCCGACGACCTGGTCGGAGAAGACAGGAGCAGCAGCAACAACAGCGACCGAGGTGAAGCGGCCGCGAAAGCGAAACGCAAGACTTCTTCCAAGCGCTCAAACCACGCCTCCTCCGTCTCCGCCTCCCGCAGCAAGGCGTCCGAACCACGGGACGACGACGACGGCGGCGGCGGCGGCGGCGGCCATGGCGGCGGTGACTCCTCGCCCCCTCCTGCCGTAGAGGGACGGGATGCTCCGTCTTTTGCCCGAGGCGGTGGCGGTGGCGGCGGCGGCAGCCGCAGTGCAGGGAGTCGTAGCGGGAAGGTTGGAGACGCCCCCCTGAGATCTCGGTCTGCGTTGCCGCTGGCCTCTCCGAGGAATAAATACGGGAGGGGCCACTTCTCCCGGCGGTCTTCCGAACCCTCGGCGGCGGCGCCGTTCAAGGGGACGGCGGCCGTCCGCGTCGGTGGCGGTGGCGGTGGCGAAGAGGAGGTGGTCGAAGAAGATGATGGTGGTCATGGTTGGTTTGGGGAGGACGGGGCGGACAGTGGTGGCGGCGACGCGGCCACGAAGGAGGTAGGGGTAGACCTGGAGTCGACGGTTTTAGCGGACCAAGACGGAGACGAGGAGATGGAGACGGGCCTCAACGACACGGTCGTGGCAGACGATGACGACGACGACGCCAGCAACACGGATGCCGACAGCGAAACCGCTGCCCGTGCCATGATGGCGGAGACGCGCGCCGGTCGTCCGGCCGGCAGATCCGGGCGGTGTGGTGCCGCCGTGAGCAGTAGCGGTGGTCAGTGCACCGCCGCCGCGGGCGGCGATGACGAAAGCGGTGGCGATCAACAACGGCCCCGGCCATCGTCCTCCACAGCACCATCACCGGAGGAAGAGAACGCAGGAGCAGGCGGTGCTGCGGGAGGGGACGCCTCGCCGGCATCCCCGGGGTCGTCGGAGAAGTTCTCTTCCTGGAAGGTAGGCGGGAGAGGGCTGCTTGGGAGGGGCTCCGCGAAGAAGACCGGGAGGCTGCTGGTGGGGGGGCTCGGTTCCGCGGGGAGGGTGGGGGGGCCGGCCCGCGCCGCGGCGCAGGTGTTGGCGTCGGCTGGACTGGATCTGGAAGGGGAGAGACGCGGAGGTGGGGGTAGGGCCAGAGGTTCGAGAGCAGGTGAGAAGGGGGTTGGAGTGGTTTCAAATTGTGTTTTGGAATTTAGCCTCTTCGCCTACAGTACCCTCTCCCTCATCGGAGGCCGTTCCGCGTATCGAAACTTGAAGAACGAGAAACTGTATCTCGGGCGTCACGCACGCCAGGATGTATGTCACCCTTGTCACACGCCCGTAGCACTCTACAGTACCTTTTGAGCTTTGTGGTTACAGCGCAGGTAGCCAGAGCGAGCTTGTTGGTATCTCCTTTTAAACATTTCTCTGTTAAACCAGCACCAGCACAGCATTTGGCCTGGCTTGCGAGCGAGCTCGTTTGTTCGTCTCTGAACTGATTGGACGGGGGCGAAACGGGGTTGTAGAGGAAAGCACCACTTTTACCTTGTATTACACGGAAGATAACACTCCCCACAATGGGACACCGCCCTTCCAACAGAAGACCGCACCGATGGTATCGCCGGGAGTGTAACGTTGGGTGGAATATGGTATCTTGTGGAATACTGCTGTGGGACAGAATCAACCCGACAAGAGTATGGTGCGTTGGGGTGGACGACAAGGTGACGTCATCCTCTATCCCTTGTGACCCTGTTGTTTTACATTATCCCGCTGCGTACATCAGGTGGAGGCGTTTCTTCCCCCGGGGACACCAGCGACGTCTTCGGGATGTCGGATGGCGACGAGACGGAGCGCACCATGCTGGACTCAACGGATTGCGACAGCAAGGTGTGCAACTGTGTAGGCTTCGGGCGAAGAACGCGAATCTTGTCTTTTCGTCGTTGCAATTTGTGGCGTTTTGCACTTGTTTTGGGAAATCTGATGCTGGTACTGTATGCTTGTTTTGGCACGCAGCATTGGTACAGTAGAGCCTGGCACGGCAAGTGTGCACGAAAGGAGGCACAGATTCAAAGTAGTTTTGCCAACAAGCCAACCAAGCTACAACAACTCCCCCCCACTACTGCTGTGCCCACAACCTGTGGGACAACTTTTTTTATTCCATTCTTGACTTCAGAAAGAGAAAGGAATACGCGAACATCGTAAAGTTTTCGCGGTACCATCCGCAGTTCATTTTTCGGTTGTGCAAGCGGGGGCGCCTTTCCCACAGCCCCCGGCGTGTACATAGATACCAGGGTATTGCGTATGACCGGGGCACTATGCACGCCAATGACGATAACACCTATTTACCCGCCCCCCTCCCCCCTTCCCAGGCCGCCAACCGCGGGCTCGTGAGCCAATCAGAGGCGGACGATTCGGAGACCGATGATGGCTCCGCCGAAGCCGCTACGGGCGGGAGTTCCCGGAAGTTGTCGCGGCGTTCTTCTTCTATCAGGGGAGCGCAAGCGGGAACCGGTGGCGGCGGCGGCGGCGGCAGGCGGCAAAGTCGAGTGTCGCCGGGGCCGAGCCCCCGTTTGGCTCCCAACGGCGTCGGGGGGAGCGGCAACGGAGGCATCACGACCCCTTTGAGCGGGATGTGGAGGCGAGGGCGCTCAGCGAAGAATCCAATGGGAGAGGTGAGCAATGTCGAGTCGGTGGGACATGGAGGTCGATACTGGGAGTTGTATGTGATATTGGATCTTATCATCAATACCAAGTTTTTTTAGTTGAAATCAAGCCTTTTACGGTTCCTGAAGTTTTGGAAGGAATGGTGGGGGCGGGGCTTTCAGTCGCATTCATCACCGTAGCAGCGAAATCGCAATTCCTCTCCTCCTTGCTCATCACGGTGAAAGTCACCCCCAAGTCAGACGACGACCTTCCTCCCTGTGGTCGTTTGAGTGACCATGGTTGAGGTTCCGGACAACGTACCCGCGTTCAAAACTCCCCTCTATCCTTATGCAACACCTTTTCGTTACCGATTGAGCCGCATCCGAGCGTCTTTCTCGCCCAATCCTCCAACCTTGAGCCAATAGGTTCCTAGTCGGCGTATTCACCGTGTTGGCCATCCTAGGTTGAAAGCATCCCCCCGCAACCTTGCTTCCCCACCCGTCACCGCTGGCAATGTTGAATGTTTCTGATCGCCGTTGTTGTGCGGTGATGATGATGGTGGTGGTGACTGGCATCGTCGCAGCCCGAGGGCGTGGTGCGCGGCAGCGGCGGAGCAGCGGGAGGAAGAGGGGCCACGACGCCGGCTTCCGGATACGCAGCGGACCTGAGCGCGGGCACCACGAGGGTCTCCAAGGCTAGGCCCAGGACTGGGCCGGCCGCTGGAGGCGGCGGTGGCAGCGGCGGCGGCGGCGGCGGCGGCGGCGGTAGTGGTGACGACGGCAAGAGAAGCAGGGCAGGCAAGGGGGCAGGGGACCACCCGAAAGAGCCAGTAGAAGGGGGAGCGGAGGGCGAGGCGCAGGACGGTTGGAGCTGCGGGAAGTGCACCTTCTTGAACGATGTACGTACGTACAGTCAGTTGCGCAAGGTGTTGTGGCCAGCGAGGTTTTTGACTGGTTCCTCTTTTGCTGAAGCCAGCGTTTTTGTTGGTTTGTTTCTTGGGGTGTACTCACAGCGATCGCATCCTATCATCCGCAGTTTTTTTTGCGCGTTCGCACTGAACAAAGCATGATCAAGGAAGTTCGGTGTTTGCACCTTTACTTTGCATTCCTCCGGCGTGATCCCGGCTGGTGCGATAAGGGTGTACTGTATCGTAGCGAAAGGTGTAGATTGACGCGCAATGTTTGTGGGACGAAAACTAAAAACCAGTCTGAATATTCTACTAACATGACTTGATAGTAAGATAGGATAGCTCCTAGGTGACCTTCATCCTGCGTGACCCGGGCTGATACACCCGGGAACTTTCGAGCTCCTTGTTGTCGACTGACACGGGTTAGACTTAATAGCGACCCGTTCATGTGTGTATCCGTCTCCCCTTGTGGCAGCTTGCCGCCCGCAAGTGCGCCATGTGTCGAAGCGCAGCCCCGAGAGCTCCCCGGAGACCTCCCAGGACTCGCGGGACCCGAAACGGCACCGATCCCGCCGCACGTTCCGAGCGGGAGATGTCGTCGCCCTCTCCTCGTGGTGGAGCGGGCATCCCGCCTGCTGAAGGCGCCGGGGGCGCCGCGAATTCGGGCGGACGGGGGGCGGGGGGCGAGAGGGGATTGCCATCGGCGGCGGCAGCGGCGGGGGACGTTAGCAGCCCCAACGGCACGTGGGAAGGGTGAGAAAGTTGTTGCTTCCTCTCTGCGTATACATGGGCAGCGCAGAAAACACGCGTACTGCATGTAGCATGACGAATTATACCATACCCCCTGGGCCGATTTTCAAAGCTCGAGAACACTCTGCGGCAAACGCCGCGACGGCGCCGAAACCGACGTCATTGGCGCAATCTTGTCGAGAGCTTTCCGAAAAATATCGCGCTCGTCGTCGTGGAGTTCCCGAGCTCTGAAATCGGTCCGGAGGGTGTGTTATCTTACGTCATGCAACCTACGGTGCGACAGAAGGAAGCGCTACACCCTCCACACGAGAGTCGAGGGGTGGGGTTTGTCCCTGCAAGGAAGCTTTCCGGTGTGTTGTTCACCGGTTTGGTGGAATTTAGCACTGCTGCGATTTTCACGCCGTTGGCACCGCCTTGGGAGGTTGTGTGATTTCTGGGGTTGTGCTGGCTGGGTTGATGTGCCGGATCGGCTACCCTTTACACGGAGACCGTCTCGTGCGTCTTGCTTGGTTGCCTTTCTTTCCCGTTCGTTTTGAAAAATAAAACTCACGGGAGATCAGGGGTCCGCAAGATTGTAGCTGTGCCTGTCGCTGACAGCTTCCTTGTTGCACGTCGGGTCGATTTCGACAGAGAAATGGCACTCTTGCTCTCCGTTTGCTGAAATACCTCACGTGCTCCCGACCCCCATTGTCTCGCAAACACATGACTGAAGCTATGTGCCCTTCCCCCCTCGGTCAATCAAAGGTACGAGATGGGGCGTAGCACGGCTTCCTCATCGGCGAAGAGCACCAGAGGGCCGCCGCCGCTGGCCGCGCCTGTTTCCAACCGAAAATCGTGCCCAAAAGTGGGTACCGACAGCGCCGGCATCGATCGTGGCGTGCAGCCGTCACCAGCAAGCGGTGACAGTCACGGCAAGCATCAACAAGGGCTTCTGCAGGGGAGCGGTGGCATTGGCGGCGCAACGCCCCCCGGCGGCGATGCGCCCCCCCATCCCCCCGCTGCTGCGTCGCTAGCGGAACTGGCATCCCCGGATACCAGTCTCTTTCGACGGGCGGCGGCGGGAGCGGCGCCCGGTAGCGGCGTTGTCGACCGGGTGCGCGGCGTAGCATCGTCCTCCTGTGGTGAGGCTAGCGGCAGCGATGCGGGGGGCGACTGCGGCGGCGGGAGCTTGGCGACGGGAGAGAAGGTTGTCGGCGGCAGGAGGGGGGGGAGCGACGCCGGGGTGAAGGGCGGCCGAGCGGCTGCTGCTTCTGCCACCGCCAACACTACCCCAGGTGGAGGGCAACGAGCGGGTGTAGGGTCCTTACCCCGACCGTGCGACGAGGAGGAGGGGAGTGCCGCGCCAGCGATTCGTCTTTTCGAGGCCGTGCCTTCCCCTTCAATATCGCTCCTCGGCCGCCCTCCGCCCGATGCCGCCGTGGGGGGGGCGGGAGCGGAGACGGTTGCGGCGGGAACGGGTCCGGGTGTGGCTGGCGCTGTGGTGGACGGGGCCGGGCTGCGAGATGCCGCACGCGGTGGCGATGGCGGTGGCCATGATCTCGCAGCCGGCGGCGAGCGGGACGGGGATGAGGAGGCTAGAGAAGGGGAGACGGGTGGGGTGGAGGTTGCGGCGCAGGTGGGGGTACGCCCCCGGGGGAAGGACGCGGACACTCCAGAAGAGTCGGACGCGGAAACTGTGCAGAGGTGATTTTTTCGATTTTTTTTCTTTTTTGGGCGCATGTGTACGTGATTTTTTTAGTGTTCAGGGAGTAGGCGTCCTCTCTGAAGAATGTGGTATTCACGAGTTTTCCGTGCGGCCACCCCGGCGCGCGACAGTCTCTCGACCTATCCCAATCGTCTGGTCATGGTTCACGGTACTCATGTTTTACGTAGTTTTCTTTTTGTGGATTAGTTGTGTCCTGTGGAATGCCTCTGACTGCTGTCGGCAACGCGCTCGTTTAGCCGCAGACCTAGAACGGTGATGGGTACCTGCTTGTATGCGATGCCCGTTCGCTTTTTTTTTGCTTCACCATGTTCTGCGTCCTTCGGAGAGAACGTTGCGCTATTACAGTATCATGAAGTGAAACCCCCGCGAGCGTCATCTAGCCTCCGCGGTACCCACAACCCGTTCTAATATAAACCTTGAATCCACCATGGCACGCCTACCTACCTCCAATACCTCAGCAATCATTCCGTCCACAACTACTTGGTTATGCCGCTTTTTCTGTCCACCCGACTCCCCTTTTTCCAGGAGTTGTCACGACGGAAGCCCCCCCAAAGAAGGCGGGTCCCCGGCTGATGACCCTGGGACGGAAGCTCCCCCCGATGGACAAACCCTGCTGGAGCGTGCTGCGGAGGAGGAGGAGGAAGAAGAGGACGCGTACGCAGGTGGCGCGGCGTCTACGGCCGCGGCGGCTGTCGTTGACGCCGCCCAAGGCTCGAAGGCGGGCGAACGTTCTGCTTCGGTTGCCGATGTCAGGGTCGGGACTGCGGCGGTTGAGATGGGTCCCCTCGGAAATGAGGGAACTGGCCGGAGCGGCGTCGGCGAGAGGAGGGGCTCCGCCAGGCTCCGGAACGGGGGGGTGGGAGTGAGGCGTCGGGAGCAGAGAGGGAAGAAGTATGAAGGGGTCGCTCGTTCTTCTTCCCCGCTGCCGGGGGAGGGGCAAGAGGAGCAGGGCGGTGGTGGGTCCGGGAAGGCGGTGGGCGCTGCCGGCGTCGACCGGGCAGGGCAAGGGGACGAGGGAGACGCCATCCGGGAAGACGCCTCGGCCGCGCCAGTCGCATCACGATCGGCGGCGGAGGAGAAGGCGTCGGCTGCGGCGGCGGATCCCGTTTCTGTGGAGGACGCGGCCCCAACAGGGCGAGGAGGGAGCAAGCGGAGAGCCAGCACTCGCGGCGGGGTTGCCGCATCCGTTGCCGCCGCATCATCGGCGGTGTCGGGAGGGCGAGGACGAAGCAAGCGGCGGGCTAGCACTCGTGGAGCTGCCGCTGCCAGTGCCCTTGCGGGGGGAGGGACTTCTTCGAATGCTGCGGCGAGAGTGGCTGCTGCTGTGAGCGCGGGGAAGGCTGGCCCAGCGGTGTCCTCGCAGTCTCTGGATGACATCACGGAGGCCGTGGTTGCCATGTCCGCGTTGGTCGGCGAAGATAGGACTGTCGGACAGCCGGGGGTCTCGCGGGAGAACGTCGACTTGGTAGAAAACCACGGTACGACGGCGGCGGCGATGATATTGATGGTCGGCTCTTCTTCTTCCGCACGCGGGGGGGCGCGGCGGCAGCAACGGCAGCAGCAGCGTAAGGTCACCGACGGGAAGGGGAGCTCGACCGATGTGGCATACGAGGCCGGGGAGGTGGTGTCCGAGGAAGCGAGCAGCGGTGACAAGTCCAAGGCCGGCCTCGTTGGCACGAAGCGGGGCTTGTCGAGGGACGAGAACGGTGGCGAGGAGACCGGCAGGAAGCACGGCCGGCGCGGCAAGGGAGGTGGGCGAAGAAGCACCTCGAAGACCCGCGGCGCCACCACAAAGAAGCGCAAGCAGTCTACCTCTTCCGCTGAAGAAGCGGGAGACAAGGACGCCGCGGTCGGAGGTGCCGCGACCCCCGTCCCTGCCACTACTACTACTGCTGCTGATGCTGCTGATGCTGCCGCTGCTGGTGCTGGTGCTGCCGCTGCTGCTGCTCTTGTTGCCCCTGAGGGAAAGAGTGCTGCTGCTGCCGCCGCCACCACCGATGACGTTGTTGAGTCTGACGACGACGATGTCGGCGCTGTCGACGATGACGACGACGGATTTGTTGCGTTTGGCGACGACGACGCCGACGAAATGGCCTTATGCGACAACGACCCCGACCCCGTCCATGAAGGTGAAGGCGACAACAACGACCGAGTCGCCCCCGCGAATGGCTCTAAGTCCTACGCTGCCGCTGGAAATTCCGCGATCAGCAACGGCGAAGGCAACAGCAGCCGCCGCCGTGGCAAGGGCAGGGCCAGCGACAAGCCGCCGGCGCCGGTAGTGGCCGCGCCCAAGGCAGAAAAACGCCTCAAGCGCAGCTGCGGCGGCGGTGCAAGCTCCGATGCCGAGGGCGGGAGGGGGCCCCTCAAAGGTAGAAGGGCCCCCAAGGGAGCGGGGTCCCGGCCTGCCGAGGTCGTCAGCCCCGGTCCGGGGGGGACGTCAGCTGAGAACAAGAAGGGCACGGGAAGGGTGCGAAACGCCAAACGCGCGGTTGCGAACGCCGCCGGTAGCGACGGTAGAGGTGGTACCGCTGCGGAGGGGGGGGCGGCGAAGGGGAAGGCGAGAGCGGCAGGAGGAGGAGGGGCGAAGAGGAAGAGGACCGACGGCGGTGGAGCTGGGGGTGCAACCGCAGGAGGCGCGGGGCAAGGGGAGAGGAACGACAAGCTGCAGGGGGTGGTCCGAGTTGCGTTTTCCGGCATGCAGCCTGGGGATCGACAGGTGTGTGTGGGGGGGCATTGCAGACACAAAGGAGATGCACGTTTTTCTTGAATTGATCGGCAGTGTGTTCATGTTGTCTTCACGAGAGAAACGGCAGCAGCGGATGATACTCAACCTTACGCAGAATTGTCCGTCAGGGTGTGCAAGACAGGCTCGTATTGTAGGAAGACCGGAAAGATTCTTTGCTATCCCACCCCAAAGCAAGATTGAACGTGGAGATCTATCGGACGGTCGGAGGATCCATCTCTCTTTATTGTATCCCCGTTCTCCTGTAATCAGCCAGGATGAGGTCATCATCCGAGGACGCGATTTTGCCAAGATCTTCCAGGGTGCTGTCCGCGAAATCGCCTTGGATGACGTCACCCGTCGTCCAAGGATCTTCGACCGTGCCCTATTTTTTTGCCGTTTTTGAAATTCCGCCGCAGGGGGTGCTGACCAATCAGCGAACTGCGTGCCACAAATGTTTTTCTATTGGTTGCTCCCGCTGTCCGTTTGCTACCTAACCCCTGGTTCCACGTCTCGTCCGAGTTATCTGTAGGTTGTCAGGAGCAACACTTTTCACGCAGCGGGACCCGCAGATGGATTCTGACCCACTAGACGGGGAGAGGGAAGATATATGGAAGTATGTCGCGAGTATCATGCTACCTGTGTTTCGTTTTGCTCTCTCACGCTCTTTTTTTGTTGTCGATGACTTAAGGAGCCAAAACGATACGAACACGAGGGTTATCCCTTCTTCATATCTTTTTGCCCTTGATTGTGCATGCGTATCCTTTTTGAGGATTGGTCCCTTTCGCAGCGAGGGACAGCCAACAAAAAGACAGCTTCGTAAGTGGCCTCACTCTCTTTTTTTTCATGTCGCCGTTTCGTGGTGGCGCGGTCACCGCTTTTCAGGCGGCAGCCAGCGTGGTTCGGTCCCTTTCCAGGACCCACCGGCCTCACGGCTCCGGGGTTTGCACGTCTGACGCGGAGGCCTACACTCACCTCGTCATCCCGGACGTGTCGCGCAGAACGCTCAAGGTATGTTCACCCCGCCGGCGTGTGTTCGGTGGACCTTTTTTATTTTTTATTTTTTTCGTACTATAACACAACATATCCACACGCATCCATGGATGAGGGTTATGGTTTATTTGGTAGGTGAGTTCATGGCGGCAGCAGAGCACTAGCAATACCTGTGTTTCTGCGATTCCCCGAGCAGCCTACAGCGTGCGGGTAACAGTCTCTACAAGATAGTTCGGTAGCCATCCTATTCTACGATGTACAACTCCGCGTTGCTCCACGCTCCTGTTCCTCTCGTCGTTTCATCGCTCCGTTTGGTATGGTGGCGGTGGTAGCCGTGCTGCCGCCGATGTTGGCGCTTCATCGCTGCTTTCAATGCTGCTGCCGTTGTTGCTGCGGCCGCCGTCTCTTCGATATTGATGGGGGAGTCCAGGTGCTGTTCGCGCTCTGTGCGCCGCTGTCGCCGAATGGCCGCCCCCCGGTGGTGGTTACCGTGGCCTGGCTGTACGAGTCGCTGGAAAAGGGTTTCTTCGTGGACTCGGAGGCGTTTCGACCCGACAGGTGCAAAGGAGAAAGAACGCACGCCCACCAAGTATTTGTGATGTCCACTTTGTATTTGGAGTACCACGTACACGAGCATGGGTAGAAACTAGTTCATTGTGTATGGGGCGACGTTATCTTAGTAGCGTGAGGAGGAGGTAGTGCGTTGTGTATTGGGGGACACGTTGTCTACGGTACGGGAAGGTTGTCTACGGTTGCCTGAGAATGTACACAGTACGACAGTCGTGTGCCGTACAGTATGCAAGGGTGCAACAAAGTGGGATGTTCCTACTGCTACTCCTAGTCGTCCATTGAATCGTGTCACGGAACCCCCGGGGTACCTGCTTCATCGCTATCCGCGTGCCCCCTAGTGCGGTTACCTCGGGATATTCTGCATCAGTCAGCATGTCGACCCACCACCCACGTGCTCCATCTTTCGGCTTCCGCGATCCGTGATCCAACCCCCAAGGTCGCCGCCATTAACGACCCACACACAAACACCTACCCTTTGCATCACCGGCTTCCTAGATTCGGACGAGGGCATGCGTAATGCTTCAGTGCCTGTCTCACAGCAAGGATTTGTATACAGTTTCATTCAGACAGAAGCGACGACCACGGATCGAATCAGAGGCAACGCAAGCAATACTATACAAGTACCCCCTTCTCCCATCTCTGTCGCGCAGATACCGGGGCCTCGCCCTTGAAGGGGGTTCCGTAGAGGGTCCTGAGGAGGGGGTGTCCGCCACCGCGGCGGGGGCGACGAAGGAGAGCAGGTCCATCTCGTCGAACCTGCTCCAAGGAGAGAGGGTGATGCTCGGGGGAATCGTAGACCCGCCTCCTTCTGTGGTGGAAAACCTGGCTGTGGCCACGGGCGGCCTGGTGCGAATACGACGGATCTGCGTGTGTGCGTGTAGGTTACTGTAGGGGGTGTCGGTTTCGTTTGACGTGACAACGAGATTCGAAAAGGCGTGATCAGAAATCAAAATACAGAGCTGCGGCTGGTCGAAATCCAAAGCCCTTTCTGGGTTTCCCCGGAAAGAAAAAAACGGGTGGGCTCTGTTCCCATTCCAAGAATTCCGACCCTATTGACACGACGTTTTCTCTGGCCAACGAAGCCATTTCAATGTTTCTATATCGTTTTCGATGTACAATCAACTTCAACTTTTTCTTTAGCTCGTTACTACAGGGTGTGTGGGTCGTGTGTGGGTATTTGTGTCGTGGTTTTTTTTTATATCGAAAAATTTTGAATACGCGTTCGGTCAAACCAGTGGGACAAGCCACAATATATGGCTTTGTTCCAACGCGGATGTGATTGTGTGAAAACGTACGTATGCATGTGCGGTTTTTCACGACGGTCTAATTTTGTGCTATTTTGGGCGTGTACAATGTTTTTGAAGGAGACCAATGACCTCTGATGGCCTTGATGTTTCGGGAACGCTTGTTGCTAGTGATGGGTCGTTAGATGTCGATTGTTCGGCAGTCTTGGCTTTGTGGTGGTTAACATTCCCCGAAAAAGGCGGGTTATTTCTCATTGTTGTATATTTTGTGCGTGAGAAAAGACCACGCACAGTATTCCCGACCAACCAGATAGCTCGTTCGGTGTTTGCTTTGCGTTGACCAATCAGATCACTCACTGTATCCACGACGCCACGCTGCTCTTGGCGGAGACCGAGATCGCTCTGGAGGTGAGACGCAAAAAATGGAGCTGAAGTCGGAAAGCGCGGTCCTACTTTAACAAGCTCGTGGGGTCAACTTAAATCTTCCTTCAACGAACGAATGTTGCCTCGTATGTATGTGTGGAAGGTGGATAGGCTGGTAGCTGCTTGTGGGGTGTTATGCTTTGCCGCCCATGGTTTATCTGGAACCAAGTGATGGGTTGCACCATCCCGCAGAGGAATGTAAACAAGAAACAACCCAAGGAACCAGTAGAGGTGATTCCGAGTCGGTGGTGGCGTCTCCTGTACTCCTCCCAACACACGAAACGAAGTCACGAACACTCTGTTCTGCATAGGCGTGGGTGGAACAACAGAAGAAGAAACCGGGGGCTAGCGGCGGAGGCGGAGGCGGCGGAGGCAGTCGTGGGGTCGCCAAGATCAGCGCTGGGCCTGGCGGCAACAGCATCGGCACCAGTCGTCGCGGGCTAGGCGCAAGCACGGCATCTTCCCGCAACGCATCAAGGGGGGCGGCGGGAGGCAGGCGCGGCGTCCTAGGGAAGGGGAAGGGCCGCGCCGCGGCCGGTCCCGGCGGGTGGGGGGAGGAGGAGGAGAGCGCGCTCAAGGTGCTGGCGGAGAAGTTGGGAGTGGTGAGACAAAATACTTGAAGTGAAAGAGTTTTTGTCCGCTTGTCACACTCCCCGCTGTTGTTTTCGTGTATTTTCCCCACGTTGTTTTTGGTTGTGCTATTGTTTCCGCCGTCGGAGAACCTGGGAGCTACGAGACTCAAGCCAGGAAAAAAAGGAAACTACAGATTGAGCAGAAAGACAGGCGCTCTATTGTGAGCCCTCCAATGCAACCGACTGTTCTGGTAGTCGAGGCCAGGATACCCCCACAAAGAGTGTATGAAACGAGCCTCTCGCAAAGCATGGGATTCTTTGGTGCTTGGCGTGTTCTGAATGCGTGGGTGGTTTACGCTGAGGACGGCCGTCGACGCCGAAGGTGTTTTCAAGCCTGAAGCCTTCTTCTCTTCAGCCGCTTTCCACATTTCTTTTTGCCCTGCTTGTGTGGATTATTCTCTCGCTTACTTGATGCTCTCGCATATTTGGCGTGACTGCATATTCTCGACAAAGTTTCCGCAATCTGGTGGTGATTGTAACTCGCCAACCTCCCCTGTCTGGTGCTTTGCGTGCTTCCAAAGATCGGGCCATCGATGTGGTTCCCCAGACGGTTGCGAAATATCTTACGGCCGCCGCCCCACGGAAGCGGGTTGATTGAATCATACCACTACTATATCCATGTTATTTTGTTCCCTCGGCTGAACGTGCCTAGTCTAGCATAGGAGGGGCAATGAAGTGACTGAACCAAACCACTACTGTATCCACGGTATTTTGTTCCCCTCGACTGAACGTCCCTAGCCTAGCATAGGAAGGGGGATGAATGGCTCAACCGATTGGTTGCCTCCGAGCAACTGCGTGTGACTGTTGTCGTTCACTCTCCGCCGTACATAGGTCCGCCTTCCGTGGCTGTTCGATAGCGTCGAGAAGGGGGTTCGTGTAGACAAGGAGAACTTCCTGGTCATGGCGGAGCGGGCCCCGCAAAATGGGGCGGAGGGGGATGCGGCGGCAAGCCAGGAGTGGTGAAATACGGACACGTGCCGGTTGCAGAAGCCGGCCGTCTGCTTTCCCGCTCACCACACCCGCAGCTACGTTCGTCATCATCATATCGTGTATTTTTTCTCCACTACGCGGCACACGATTGGCTGCTGGTTAGCAGCGGAGGCCACTGCCCCCTCAGAATGCTCGAACTTTGGGCTCGGAGATGGGGGGGACGGCCCCGTGCCTACATTTGACGAGACTCGCCTTTGATTTACTGCCGCAGTGCAGAGTTTGTGGTTCCTGTTCAGGGCCGGTCTGCTAATGTTGCCATTTTTCCTTGCTTCGTCGTTGTGGGAAAGAGCGTCTTTGTCCCACTAGGATTATTTATTGGTTTATCCGTCAAGGTTAGGGGGACGATTTGGTAGCCTTTGGTGCGAACTGTGACGCTTGCTGTGGAGACAGCAAGAAGGCGTGCCGGAGGTTCTCGTGTGAAAATGTCAGGGATATGGTGGGTTGGGCTTTTTGGCTGCGGATATGGCACGGGTGATTTACTCCAGCTATCGTGCACCGTTCTGTTGCTGGGCGATTTGTTTTCACGTCACCTCCGTGACAAAAAGATGGGGCACACATGGTACTCATTGTTCTGCACCCCTCGATGTTGTTGTGTTCACCTTCTTTTTTGAAACGTCGTGGTCGTGGTACTTGAATAATTAGGATGATTCGTTCATTGCCCACACCCCGTTGTGGACAACATCGGATCGGTACGTACATGCACAATGGCTGTCACTCGTTTTTTTGTCGAATCATGCGCCATCCATCCATGTCATGACAGACAGCGCACATTCCCGTGTTGTCGACATTTCAAAAGGGTGAGAGTTAGGCTTAGCGTTGGTGGCGCCTTCAATATTTTGCTCCAGACATGTTCTACACGTTGACATGTTGATGTACGTAGCCCGCGAGAATGGGGCGGGTCCTTGGTGAATACGAGATGTGGAATTACAGTGTTTATTTTTTTCTCGTGTGAGGGTTTTCGCCCCGAGTGGTGTGGTTGATTCACTCCCCCCAAAGCTCCGGACTTCAGCTTGTAAGGGCGTCTATGCCACTGACGACCAACGATTCGACTGCTGGAACCATGGCCGCGGCGGAACGGAGCGACGTGTGGCTCTTGCTTCGTTGTCGTGGGCGCGTGATTGCCAAGTATCGTATGTAGCCCGCGAGGTTCCGAGCAGCTCGATGCAGCTGCCCATTTTCCGCCGGTGGAGACTCTACTTCCACCTGCGAGTCCAACATATCTATTTGTGGTCGTCCTGTGATGGCTGGCGGTACGGTGCTCGAATGGCAACACTCCCAGATGGAAGGAAAACCGCGTTGATTCTCGTCGGCGGCGTTGTTTACTCATGAAGCTCATTCGGTAGTTGAGCTTGAAACCCTATTGGTTATTCAAACCTGAACCTCACCGGCAGCCTTTCATATTTTCTAGTGCAAGTTTAACGTCTATTCTGCACCGTAATACACATGAGCAAACCATACTTACAACACACAAACGCGCATCCATTCGGCAGCTTACAACGAACACCGCGCGAGTACGTCAACGAACACATCACGCGTGCGTTGACACCCGGCGACGACTGGTGCCACTGTGGAGAAGACAAGCCCTCGGAAGGAGCTTGAGGCTAAAAGCAGCAGCAGCCAGCAAGGGGGGTTCCGTGGAGTCCAGCATCCGGGTCATGTAGGAGGCACACGCGTAACGCGGAGCTCCCATCCCAACGCACACTACACAATTATTTATATCTACGTCTCGTTGTTTTGCTTGTGACATTCACTCTCCACACCCCGTCCGGTTCAACCCCTTGAGCAACTCTGGTGGAGCCAGTGTTGTCACCCTTTTCGTACAGTAGAGACACCTCTCCTCGAGCCATCCAACTCCTTTGTGCACCGTATCTACCGTAATATATACGAACTGAGGGCTGTCGGTCACCCTACACAACAATAGTGGTAATCACGATAAACGTGCCAGGGGACGAACACGTCGCCCTGGTAACTGTACGGCGAGCGGTTCCCTCGCATGGGCGACTGATTTCGTCGGTGTTGCAGACAATCAATCCACCCGAAAATATTCAACGACCTTACCCAGCCATCAACACGCCGCAGCATGTATGTCCGGAAAATGTCAACACGCCGTTGCCCGTACGTGCGCGTGCTAGATAGACATGTTAAACTCTCCCCAAATTGTCGACCGCCTGTCTATGCGGCGATTTCACTCGAGCGTTCCCCACCCGGTAACGGTGGCGCATTTCCGGGAACGCCGGTGGCGCCGGCATCCTTCTGCCCCCTCTCTGCGACAAGGGGGGCCTGCGGCGAGCAGACCTCGGCAGCGGTGGGGGCATCGACATGTCAAACCCTGGCCGGCCACGGGGCACCGGCGTTTCCGAAACGGGCTTGGAGCAAGCCCGCTGGCTGGGTTTGTATGCCGGGTGTGGGCGACGCGGCTTCGTTGACTCCAGCGCGACAGGCTTTTTGTGTTCCGCAAAGGGCTTGTACATCCGGCAGGTTGGGGGCTGAGCGGAGGTTTCGTCCCGGGTACCTCGGTCCCACGCGAAGTCTCGCTTCTTCTGCGATCAAAACAGTGGCAAAGCCAAAAGAGGCCGTGGGTAGCGCGAAGGCGAATTTGAGGGGTTGTTTAGTGTTGAGGTCTTCAGACGAAATTATTCAAGCAATACCTTCCGCTTGGTCTCCCATTCAGCAACCAATATTGTGAAGAGTTATCCTGACGTGAACTCTCCTCCGAAACGTCATCCACAGAAGGCCACAAGGTACCTCGGAGAACGTACTAAAGGCCACTCCACGCATGCATGTCGTTTTCCACAAATACTTCTGCCTCGTGAATATCTCTTCAGCTCGTGGACCACCTTCAAGGGCTCAGCAACGAGCAGCCTCACCCAATCAGCAACGCTACCGATTACGTTGATGGTATGCAAAGCAGGGTGGCTGCATCTACCTGCGGTTCGATTTGCATGGACGATGCACCACACCCCGCACTTACTCGCTGCGTGAAGGCGCCCGCTTCTTCAAGTTCGGTCACCTCAGCGGCAGGCAGGCTGAAGTACGACCCCGTCGGCACGTTCGGGCGTGGGACGTCGCAAAGGGGACCGGCGCCTTCATCCGGTGCTATCGACAGCCCTTGCCCCTGCCGCCTCCACTGTGGCTGCTGCTGCTCTTGACACCGATCGACAGAATCAAGGGGAGACGGGTGGTGCACTCTGCCGGTGGCCTTGTTGTACCTGCGAAGATGGTGTAGGCGAGAGGCGGGCTAAATAACAAGCTCTTGCTGAATACACGCTAGGGGCGGGTCTTGGACGCTCTGCAAGAAAGCCCATCCCGCTTCTGCATCCAAAATGCGACGGTTGGCGACGGTGTGCTGGACCTAAGACTTAGTGAGAAGGAGTTTCAGCTCATCCAGTCGTTCGTCGCGGAATGCCGATTCTAGAATATGAGTAATAACGTTCCCAAGTCTCCACCCGAAAAGTTGAATATTTTTCTTCCAGGGACGGCATCGTTCCTCCAAGAAGCAAGTTTTCAGCACGTACAGGAACCAACAGTCAAACCTATTCGATAAAGTCACACCATTAGAGTAGTCAGCGTGCTCAGAGCTCATTTGCACCCGGCAGGATCAGATTTTGGGTTGGTGAGTGAGTAGAGATCTCCGGGGACGAACCCCTCGCCAGACGCTGCCTGAGAAGAACTTCATGGTGCTTGGGACTAGTCTAATTGCTTGGTGGTAAAAAAGTCACGATAACGTGATGCCATTAGAGTAGTCAGCGCTGACTGGTCTAATGGTGTAACCTAATCGAATAAGACCAACCCCCCCGGGAAAGCCAGATACCTCGCTGACTCAGGCCGGCTCAACGTTTTCGCTCACCAACAAAAACGACCGGATTGGTCGTACCCAGGAGTCCATGTTGGGTTGAATGCCGCCATCCTCACCGTAACTTTCTGCCATAACAAGACAAATGGCGCACGCCACACACACACGTGATACATAAGGGGAAAAATAGGATACATGCGAGGATATATTGACACCATCGGTCGCCCCGGTGGTCTAGTGGGTAGTCTCACAGCCTGCTAAGGGCCAGGTCATGGATACGAGTCCCGACAGAGTGATTTTTTTCTCGCTAACCAAATCCTGGTCTCCGTTGAAGGCGACGCGCTGCAAAGTTGTTACGTTGTTCGTAAACTTGATCGACTTCATAAGTCGCGAGGGAAGGAATTGCTGTTCCGTCCTCGCGATAAAACTATTTCAGGCAGGAACCGCAGGAGGGGGTCCAACCCCCCCCTCCTATGTGACCCCGGTTGGGTCGTTTAGCTGATAGTAGTGGAGGATAGGGGCCAGAGGGGCACACGACAGAGTCCAATGATGGGAGAAAAAAAAAAATATACATATATAGCAGGGGAAGGGTAGCGTAAGGGGCAAGAATGGGACGCGAGAAGGGGGGTGATGCATGGTTATTTCGGACTGCTTTTTTTCACGAGATCATCTCGGCATCCGAGCTGGTGTTGACCTGCAGCTAAGGGTGGGAGCACGGACATTCTTGCGCAATTGTCGTCGGGTTCTCCGCGTGAGTGACCTGAGTCAAACATAAGGCTGCGCCTGAAAGCGTAGCTTCACATTAGACTTCCGCGTGCGGTTACCGAGATAGATTTATTTATGGATGAAGACAAGAAGCAACCATGGTATCCGCCTACTACAGCATTATAGATATGAACACATGGACACTGCTGTTTGCAACAAGGGTCTATCTATCTGCTGCTTTGGGCATTTCGGTATAGACGCATATGTTGCTGCACGGTAGCAGGGCGTTCTTTGACGAGAGCATGCTCCTTTCGAGTCACTCTGCTGCTGCTGATGCGACGTGCAGCCCAGAGCTGTAACATTTTATTCATTCGTCGGCGGAGGTATGCCTGGACTGAAAATTGGCGGTGAACCGTTCTGTTGACTGGCGTGGTGGTCTAAAATAATATCCATCAGCAGCAATCCATACAGATGTGTTAGTGAAGCATCCATTGTCTACCAGCGAAGGCCTAAACAGCAACAGTAACGCGGTCGGACACAAACACGTAACCCGGGCCATGACTACGAGTCCAATGTTTGCTGGTGCCTGAAACTCTTACTGACACTCTTACAGAGTGCACACATCTGAATCCTCGCATTGGGATCTGAATACCTTTCGTGTGTGTAGACTCTGTAGCTGTTTGAACATTGCACGTTCAAACCAGCTTGTTCAAACCCGAAAAATCTTTTGATTCGCGGTATTGGTTCAAAGGGATCGATTCTACAATATACTGCTGTGCAGACTATTGCTGTGCTGTTCTGGCGAATGCCACGTGTGTGTGTGTTCTCGTCGATGCCTCTTTTGTCACCACGCTTGAACAACACACAAACGGATGCACCTTCCCGTCTTTCTCTAAACCGACGGTAACGGTCTGCGGACATGCGTATGCAACTCGAAGGTGCTCAATCTCAGCGTCACGGCGTTCACCACCACCGGGAACGTTGCACATGGCTGTCCACGGTTGGTTGCTGTGCTCCACAGTAGACTACTGCCGCCGTAGTCTACAGTAGTCTACAAAGTCTCCTAAATGCCATCGGAGATGCGGAAGCAGCACCATGCGAGGACGCGAACAGTCTACAGTACGCAAATTCGCGACGAGGCAGTGTAGTCTAGACTAGTAGTGGCTGCCCGTTTCACGTCACACCCCGGCTAGACTGGTGTTTCATCTCTTACCTGGTGCGGGTGCTGCTTCTTGCCTTGTGCCCCGATAGACTGATCAAAGAGGGATGGCGGGTGTGCTGAGAGGAATCACGGAAGAGAGCCGGGGAGTGCTGTACCCCAGGAGTGCTTGTCGCGATACGTGTTTTTAATTTGTAACTCCAACTGCTGTTGATGTGCATAGCAAGTGTACCGTGGCAGCGATGCAGCGATGGTGCCAACAGGCAGGAGTGGGGCCGAGGAACCTGGCCACAGAACGTTCCGAGAACTAAGGAACCCAAACACCGGCCCTAAGAACCTTCCGAGAAATTTCGGGGTATTGCTACCCAGACCGTTCTCGGGGTTCTAGACGATGCCACCAAGAAAATATCCAGTCCCCAAAACGTGCGAACGCCCGAACGTGAGAACGATCCTGTCTCCCCGCACCGCACGGCAACCCCGTGACGCAACCCGCCCACTCACACTTCCCCTGACACCCACACGCAGGCGCGAACTGGTCTTCACAGCACCACCCACTTACTTTTGCTTCAGCTGCCGCTTCTCTCGAGGTGATCAGACCGACGTCCCAGCAGCAGCCAGCCCAGCTAGAGACAGCAGCAGCAGCAGCAGCAGCAGCAGTGAGTCCGGTCTTCAACTGGATTGTCTGTTGACGAAGGGGCAAAGGGTTCAGAGATGCAAAGTGCACCACTCCGCGGACAGAGGGGCCGAAGGCGAAACGCATCACCACGTCGCTTGTCCTCTTCGCAATCACCCGTGCCACCCGGTGAAAGCGCAGACTGACTGCTGCCTTCGTTGCGTATTCGTTCTTTTTTGTTGAAGAACGGGTTGCGTGCCGTAAGTCTAGAAGAAAGAAAAACAGTGAAACCACCAGCATTCCAAACGGCGCGAAAGAACGGGAATTGACCCGCCCCGTTGCGGTGTCTGTGATGTACTCGTTGTACAGTAGTGCCGTGCCAGGTGCTCCATAATCGTTTTGTTGCCCGATTCAATTTACGATAAGAAAGCTTCCAAGGCCTTATTCATCCAGTCCGTCATGTGCCGAGAGATTAACCTGGTCGGGCGAAAGCTGCCGAGGATGACTTCTGCTCGACTTGTGCGAAAGGGATGTGATGCAGATGAAGTAGTCATCTCAGGTTCTGTTTCTACAGCAGTAGTGGTAAATTTACTCGTGGCGTGTGGCATGTGGCCGAAACTTCAAAGCGTGCCTTGGGTTGGTTGTCGGGACGCCCCCGATTGAACAAAACAGGTCACCCGGTACCGAAACCGACAAACCGCATAACAAGAGCATGGCGAGCTTCAACCCTCACGAGTGGACACCCGGCTACGACGAAAACGGTGTCAACTGCTGGTGAGCAACAACCGAACCGCGTTTGCTTGGCAGGAACTTTGAGAACGTATTTGTAGCAACCGCCCAAAATATATCGAACGGATAGCTCCACTACGGTACGCACGGTGATTGCAGGCAAGTAACTAGTAGCGATCATCTGCCCCGCCCAGCGATAAACGGCTGTCTGCTTCCGAAATCCCGAAATACCTACAGTACTTCTTTTGAGATGTGAACGGTTCAGAGCAATGAATGTTTGATACCATCGGTGCCTCTGCCACCACCCTCATCTCTTCCCTGGATTACGCGTCTTTTCTGCGCAATAACCTCTTCCTCCGGTGCGCTCTCAACAGGTTCAACAAGACAACTAGATTAAGGGTGTACGGGTGCTTTCCACCGCAGATGCAGGTGGGGCTGTCGCCCATTGTGGGTGGCCCCGGCGTTAGCGTTCCTGCCAGCACCCAGTTCAATCCAGCTTCGGCCCTAGACCAGGAAAAGCAGTGGAAACAGGTGCGTGTGTGTTTGGGTGAGTTTCGAAGGTGGGGGTGAAGGTGAGGGAGAGGGAAACGGACAGGAGAGAGGAGAAAACATGCAGCAGTGGGTGGTGGAATGCGAAGGTCCCCATTGTTTCGCACAAAAATATTCTCTACAGCATGCATGCCAAACCTGACTGGGTAGGCCACACCTATAGCAACAACGATGGTCTTGATCGCGTCGACGACATCGACATAGAACGTCAAACAACGTACCATAGACGAACTCCACCGGTCGTTGCTGACTTTGTAAGTTATCCGCTGAACGTTGCGCTGTCGACTTGAACCGTCTACAGACCAACAGATCCTGTCGTCGCCAAACTATCTGCAAGCGACTCCTATTCTTGAGGGAAAATATTGGAAAGCATGCGTTTTTTTCAATACACCAAGCATGGAAACAAACGTACCATAGACGAACTCCACCGGTCGTTGCTGACTTTGTAAGTTATCCGCTGAACGTTGCGCTGTCGACTTGAACCGTCTACAGACCAACAGATCCTGTCGTCGCCAAACTATCTGCAAGCGACTCCTATTCTTGAGGGAAAATATTGGAAAGCATGCGTTTTTTTCAATACACCAAGCATGGAAACAAACGTACCATAGACGAACTCCACCGGTCGTTGCTGACTTTGTAAGTTATCCGCTGAACGTTGCGCTGTCGACTTGAACCGTCTACAGACCAACAGATCCTGTCGTCGCCAAACTATCTGCAAGCGACTCCTATTCTTGAGGGAAAATATTGGAAAGCATGCGTTTATTTCAATACACCAAGCATGGAAACAAACGGTCCGTAGAGATCACTCGGGACAGACGGAGGTTTCAATCTGCTCAGAACTGACTCAGATGTGTTGAAGTTTCGGACGGGTTTTGAATTTCCTCCGTGGACACTTTGAATAACAGGCCCTGGCCGGAGCGTGGAGGGAGTTCCAAACGGAAGGAGACGAGAGGAAGCCCTACTGGTACAACGAAATATCCGGAGCCAGAACGTGGGACAAGCCCGACACGAGCGACGCGCGGAAGCCCCCACCGCCGCCACCCCCGGCGTCTTCCTCCCAGCCGCAGGAGCCTTCTCCCCATAATGACAACGGAGGCAAGGCCGGCGGCGCCGGCGAGAAAACGAAGAAGGAATCTGAGCAGTGGCAACAGCTTCGCACTACGAAGGGCCGCAGATACTGGTACAATGAAGTAACCGGGGTGTCGCAGTACGCCACTCCGAAGTGCCTCAGGAAATACTGCTGAAAGAACGGTACGACCACGACCACCACTGATGAGCGGGCGTGGGGACGTAAATAGCTTCCGTTGGCGGCAAAGAAAGGCGCGAACTGATGATGGTTCCGGGTGTGTAGCAGAGTACGAGTGTATGTGCTGGCAGCCGTATGTACGTACGAGGATAGTTGGGGGGGAAAAGGAGCGTTGAACCCGTACAGGGGCAACCGCTCTGCGGGAAGGGCCTGCGTACAGCTAGGCAAAGCCTGTGGCTCATCTGTGTTTGGGCGCTTGAGTTGTAGAGTCCCCTTGACGTATTTTCGACTCAAGAACCTCCCACCCAATGAACGTAAACCCAACGAGTAGATAATTCCTTGCATACCGTGAGCCGTGTTGTGCATTTCCTTCCGTGTTGAGGTGTAGTTGTATTGCTGCACACGATCACACTCTTAGAAGTAGGGAGACCCGCCTAGGAAGCGTGCCGCCATAGTGTGTATGTATGCAGAAAACTGTTGGATTTTGCGCACTGTAGAATTCGTTTTCTCGAGAGTTTTTCCCTATCTGGTATCCTTCACTCTTCGGTCTTCTTGTGTTGTTAGTCGCCATGGCATGGTCCCCTACTCCTTTTGTTTTTGGGTCTGTATTTTGGTTTGAATTTTTGCGCAAGAAGTTCGGACAAAAGTAGAAAGTGTACGTAAAAACGCGATGTTCTGGCCCATGGCCTTGAGCGAGTGCCCGCTGTTTTTTAGGGGCGTCGGCGACATCGACCCTCGTCGTTGTTTTTGAGAATGAGTTGAATGTCGTAGAGCAGTCTAAAAGGCGTTTTCGTAGGGATGTGTCGTAGCCATTAGTAGTAGTCAAGTTCAGCATTTTAGTCTTCTTTGGTCGGCCGAGTTTCACAGAAGAACTAGTCACATGCGCGGTGTCGATTGTTTGGGCCCCTCGATGGCGGTGTTGTCGGATGCCTCAAGTTCTTTGTACCTCTCTGTGTAGTTTGTCTTCGTTGCCAAGACGGCTATGTCCGGCATATATATGTGTGCTGTAGGCACACAGAAATCACTCGTGTAGTTTTCCCAGGCGTAACGCTAACTGAATAATTCTTATGCGTATGCATTTCTAGAACCAAAGTGCAAACCATATCTCGACTCTTCACGTTCGACAAGGGAACGGGACGACGGTCGAACCTCTCCTGAGGAAAAAATTGGGTCGATTACCGGAGGAGGAAGGAGATGGTGGAGGCAAGGAACCCTACGTGGGGCCTTTCTCCGCTCGGTGTGTCGCCTGCCGGTGTGCCCAATACTGAAATATGTGAAGTGCGAGGAGGTCTAAATGATGATTGATAATTATCATCCATTCTTCGGTTGCGCCGTTCCACCAACAGGATCTTGATCCACGAAAAGTCGCACGCTTTATTGACTGCAGCGTGTAGCAGACGGGGGTGATGTTGGCTTGCGAACAAGCAAGCCCAAACCATCATCGTCAACATGTAACCGGCCTTTGTTGGACAGGCCACGAGTCTCCAACAGATGAGGTCTTGATCCATGATATCCAAAGGGAGGGCCGCAGGCCGACCCAGAGGGATGAAACGAAGTGCTACATCTCACACAGGATCGTTCCGTTGCTCGCCAGTCCGATCAGCATGCAAGAACCGTTCGACTGACGCCCAGAAGTACAGGTCCGCCGAAGAATGCAAAGCCGCCTCGATACAAGAGGGGTCCGGCTCTTCAGGGGTCGACTGCAATCCTCCAGAAAGTAGCGCAGCAGTGGGGACCGAAGGTGAATTCGGGCGAGCGGTGGAAACCACACTCGGTGGAGACTCCGAAGAGCCGGCGGCTGCGAAGACTGCAGAGCAGGAGCAACTGAAGGTGCAGTATGCGTCGCAGACGCAGAATCTCATCCATGCGCCAGAGGCGTGGAGGAATTTGGGATGAACCAACAGCGCAAGTAGCCGAAACCGAACTAGACGAAACTGGTGTCGTCGACGGTGCCGAGAGCACCATCGGAGACCGTCGAGACGGTCGTGGCGAAGCGGAAATCCGTGTGGGAGGCACGGAAGACGGGTCATTAGATCAGCCCCAATCAACTAGAGGGAGTGGTCTGCCTGCCACAACCGCCGTGCGGCGACGAGTCCGCGTGGAAATCACTTGGGTAGGATCAAGGGTCCGACGTGGTGGTGCTACCGGTGGGACGATCGATGGAGACGCGGGCTCTGGAGAGCCGGACCAGACGATGGGAGGCCGAGTGCGCATTCTCGAAGAAGACGAAACGCCAAGCGTCGTGGGCGGCCAAGGAGCGTTGTTTCAGACTCCAGACGAAGACGAAAGGCTTGGCGGTGGGGGACCCTGACCGTGCCGACGGAAATCGACGGAGTCGGCTGTAGAGGAGGCAAGCCCACTCAAGACCGAAGTCGGGGAGGTCAGGACCAGCCCACCCAAGCCAATACCCGCGGCCCGATGGCCGGAAGGAGTCAAGCCACAAGATCAGATGAGAAGCGCGGTCACCTCATCCTCAGTCAAGGTCAAGCGGTTGCGACCAGATCGGTCACATTCGGCCGAGTCGATCGGAAGGCGAGAGAGGAAGTTGCCATGTGCGGGGCTTGCAAAACCGAGAATGTAGTTGTAGGCGGTAAGGAATACTTGCCAACGTTGAACATGGACATTGTTCTCCCCCACCTCGGCAAAATGATCAAGATATTGTGGTAGATAAAAATGCGAAAATTGTACCCCACATGTAGCCGTGAAATCGTTTGATACACCATACGATCCTACCCGCCTCAAGATCAAATGGAGTCCAATGACGTTCGGGGTCCAACATTGCCCGGCTGATGAAGACGATGGGACGGATGGGCCCATCCGGCTGTTCTTGTTCGACAGTCCCACCGAACCCGTCGCAACTAGCATCACAGCCAAAGACGAAAAGGTCGCGAGCCGTCCGAAATGGCATCCCAATCCGGCGAAACCAAAACAGGAGGGTTGACCAACTTAGACAACACAACGAGAACGGTTTGTTTCATAGAATGGGAAAAACATAACTTCCCCTGCTTCCTAACGAGAGCGGTCAGATACAGAATGCACGTAGCCATGTTGGGGAGTTCCGTGCAAAACGCCCTGGTGACCGTGTGTTTGGTGAGCGTACATTCGCTCAAGATGACAGCTATGGCGCCACTGCATTTGCCCACGATCCGACTGCCACAGATGAAAGTTATCAACGTCGCTATCCAGGTAAACATTTGGTCTAACTCCACTCAGAGCAAACTCTCGTTCAGGTTGATTTTGGTGACCAGCGATGGCTCTCCAGCCCTCGCCGGTAATGATTTAGCGGATATGCTTCCACAGTGTGCTATGTTTCTTAAGTGGAACATTTCGTCTCTCGAATCAGGAGACATTTGGGGTACAGCTTCGGCTCCCCGTCTCCAAGTGCCTCTTAGCGCTGTGTCGCGCCACAGGTAAAGCGGCGGTCTTCAAACTGTGGCTCAAGCTTCCACCGCTGGTTCGGGCAACTGGGTTCCGGGTCCTCTTCCCATGGGTGGCATTGATTCGTTTGCCATGCTCTTCTATTGCTGACCCCTTCGTGTATAGTATACACGAGCGACCCACGCGTCGCAGAGCTACCAAGAGAATCCTGGTTCCGCCATATTTCCCCTGCGTCACCTTCGCCTGTTCTCCTCGAGCGGTTGACGCCAGAATAGTGTCACAGTGTCACAGTGTCCCCGAGTGTGGGATAAGCTCCCGGTGCCGTGGATGGGTTAACTTCATACACCGCGCTACGGAGAGATGACGTCGGAACCTGATCGCTAGAAGGCACCAAGCGAGAGCTGCGCTCGGGAGGGGACGTTGTTTCTTAACAGACTGCGCACTCGATGGAGGTCAACATACCGTCGGAGGGACTGGCTTCGACAAGGGTTTTGTCACCAGATCCGACAAGATGATAAACTCGTAGCTCGGAGGTTTGACTACATTTTGCGTGAGAGCCAGTTGCACAACATTTTCGCGTTCTCGTTCCCAACGAGGTTGGTCGAAACCACGGACCTCACGGCCAAACGTCTTGTGTAAGGCAAGGTCGGACGCTCGCAAGATGCTTTGTGGTGGTGTTCGAACAGACGAGCTCCTTCCACAGCGAAAAACTGATCAGCACAAAAGTAAACAACTCCTCAACCACAAAGTCGATGGTGTCCATTGGGAAAAAGAAGACGGGGGCTTCCGGAAGAAGACCATGTCAGGAGTACTCGGTAGCCGGGTCGAAAACAGCCGGAGCTGCAGGGGTCGGTGCGCCCTGAGTGCTCTCAGCCGAAGCTGGGGTCGCAGCCGAAGCTGTGGTGAGGATTTCGCCCGTGTTTGGATTAACGGTATGAACATCCGTGGGAAGGATCTCGGCAAAGGCGGGGACCGGCGAAGAATCGGCCGGAGTCTGATTGTTCGCAATAATTGGGCCAGCAACAGGGTGCTGGGTGCGTCCGAATTCTAAACCTGAAGAAGCGCCTCGTAAGGCGTCCTGCAACAGGCCGCTTTCGCTGGGAACGGCCGCCAAGGCCGGGTCAGTGAATGAACTGAGCCGGGCGTGATGCTCCTGGCCACTCTCCCTTGATAAAGTACGCGAGACCGCCGGCTGTTCGCTCCAGGCAGGTCCTTCCGAAGCGGTGGTGTCAACACTGTCGACGCCGGTCGCAACTGCCTGATATAAGGTGCTTCCGTGCGAGCGTGCGTCGGAGAAGATGGGGCGTGTAAAGACGACCCATGGTCGAAATGTCGTGCGTGGCGGAGTCTGATGATGCTCGATGGTAGGAACCAGGGGAACAAGGCGATTCGAAGCCAGGCGAATTTGACTCATGCTTGCCGGTCGGACCAAGTCAATTTATCTACCGGTGCAACGGTCGAGGGCGGACCCTCAATGGAAGTGAGCTTAAACGAATCGAGCGGGTCCGAAGATTCACCCGAGGTAACCAATGCAGGCAATTCCTCATCGATCGTCCAAAGCGTTTGGCCTCGGCCGGTCTCATCTGCAAAGCACGGGGGGAGCGAACGAGCGGTGCCCGACAAGCGAGCAGTACTCAATGCCCCCGAAGGTCCTACGATTCTGTTCCCGCACCTCAAGACAGTACTCACGCCAGAGTTGTTAAGTTCCGACGGAGCATCAATCCGAAGAGGCGAGGGGGCAGAGAGGTTGCAAATGACGAGGGTGATGGTGAAGGTGGGATGGGAGTATTTGGGTGGATAGCGGCCTGACGGACACTTAAAGAAACAACATACACCGGAGAATGGTTGTTATTGCATGGCACCGGAGTGTTAGAGGCAGCAGAGTGTGTAGGGATGACATTTACCGAAGTATCGTTATCGCTACGTAAGACCGAAGTGCTAGATGCAACAGAGTTTGAAGGAACAACAGGACCGAAGTCTTGGTGTTGCATTAAACCGAAGTGTTAGACGCGACAGAGCGTGACGCAAGCGTCTTGTGATTAACGAAACGAGGCCCCCGAAGATGCTAGAGGCGATCCGAGGGAAGGAGGCGAACCACGTCGATGGATGAGTCATCCGTGGCAAGAACGGCCACTGTTCTGGAAATTACCAGGCTGGCGAACATTGTGATTTGTCGAAACCATGATGCCAGACGAAGGACCTGAATAAATATGTGATTGGGGTTGATAGACGAACAGAGCATGGAGTGTGGTGGGGGTTGCCAGACGTCTGTTGGGTCGTACTATGGTTACCCGCAATTTTTCGCGGGTTGTTGCCACTGCTGTGGTGAGACTGTGGCGGGTGATTGCGAGGAGGACTACAGTACTGTACCACTTTCGGAACGGCGATTCCTACGTGATTGCCATCGTCCGAACTTTTCGGCGGAAATACCTCATGCTGCCCTCTGCCAATGCCGAAAAACAGCAGAAGCGTCGTTGAGACTGCGTACCCAAGTCAGGATTCAATAATTCATTACATGTACATTGAACTCGTGAATGGAATGGCGAAGCGCAATGTTTTATGGAATGGTGTTCACCCTAGCAGCTCAGACAGCGATTCTTGTTTTCGCGCAAGGCTTGCGATCGAGCCTCTTGTGTCACCGAAAGAGTCCACAACTAAGGGTCGTCAGTGTTTTTCGAAAACTGAGGCATACAGTAGAGGGCGTGCACATCAGACCAATCGGCGTGAGAGACAGGCCAAGAGTTGTAAATATGCGCGAAAGGGCCGGCATCTTGGGATTGTACCGGCCAAACTACAGGATTCTGTGCAGAACCAGATGCCCACCGACCCGAAGGCGGCGAGCGCAGTGGTTAGACCGCCGAGGCTGCAAGGAACCACGCGTCGAAGACAACGAATAATATGGTGAACCACCGACAGCAGGGCTTTTATTTGTCAC